CTCCCAAGGGGAATGATCGGGACATCCTCTTCGGCCGCGCCACCCCTCCCCCACACTTCGCGCAGCGAGGGGCTGCCCCGCCCTGTCGGCGAGGAGGAGAGCCGTCCTCTCGACAGGGCGGGGCCGCGGCGCACCCATGGAGGGCACGGGGCGAGAGGACGAGGCACGCGGCCTTCGCAGCCATGAGACAATGCTGATGATGATGATGATGGTGATGATGGTGATGATGGTGATGATGGTGATGATGGTGATGATGGTGATGATGATGATGATCATCATCATCATCATCATCAGCATCATCATCATCATCATCAGCAGCATCATCCTCATCATCATCAGCATCGTCATCAGCAGCATCATCGTCATCATCATGGTGTCCAGGCCGCCCGCCCGCCCTCGCGCCCAGGCGCCAGCCCCCCCTGCAGAGAAGGGCAGCCGCTCTGGCCCAGACGGCGACGACCAAAGCGCGAGCCGCTTCGCGCCTCCTGCGGCTGCTCCCTGGGGTGTGGAGGGCCCCCCAGGAGGAATGCCTGCCGCTTGCCGCCCCAGGCCGCTGCAGGACGGCCCGAAAGGGGGGGCGCGCGACGCCCCGAGTGCGGAGTCGAAGCTCACGAGGAGGAGGAGGAGGAGGAGGAGGAGGAAGAGGAGGAGGAGGAGGGATGGGGAAGGAAGTGGGAGATGAACCAGGAGGAGGAGGAGGAGGAGGAGGAGGAGGAGGAGGAGGAGGAGGAGGGACGAGTTGTTCTTTCCCGCCGAGGGCTTTGGGCGAGGGTCCTCAACAGTAAAGACCCTCTGCTGTTATCTGTGTGTCACCCCCCTCCCCCACGCCCCCTGGCTGGGTCGGCCGCGGCGCTGCCGCGGCGGGGGCGCGGCTGGTGCGTTTGCTGTTGGCAACGGCGGCACACGGTGGCGGGCAATCCGCTGTGCCCTTCGGGCTCGGGTGGCCGCGGCGGCACCCGGCGGCCGCGGCGGGCGGGATGCGCGCAGCCAGGCGGCAAGGCGGGAAACGGGAGCAGCCCAAGAGCAGCCCGGTGAGAGGCGTGATTAATGAGGACAGCACAACCCACCCACACCCCCAGCCATGACCCACCTGGTGATCCAGCGGGGTCCTGGCTTGGGGGTGGAGTGTGTGTGTGTGTGCATGTGTGTGTGTGCATGTGTGTGTGTGTTTGAGTGTGTTTCCCCCCTTCGTAAATTGAGTTTTTGTTTTTTTTCTGGATGCCCCCGCGCAATACAATCTCACCCTCTCTCCCTCCCCTCCATCACACTCACCATCACCATCGCAAATCGAGGCGGCCATGGGAAAGCTTTACACAACACACAAGTTCGGTGACGCCTGGGAGCCTGAATTCTGAGGACGTCACGAGCGGGAGCCACCTTCCTGAGCACATTGAAAGGATGTCTCAAGTGGAAGCCCCGTTTGTTGGTGAATCGTGCGGAAGGCTCGAGCGAGAGCCCGCTCCTTGCGGGGCCCCCGCATCATGTTGGCAATACCACGCGGTCATCGGGATACTGGGAGCCTGAATCCCGAAGCAGTCTCGAGCGGAAGCCTCGATCCTGGGCGAATTGACAGGTCTTGGGTTGGGATGGAGCCTGTAAGTGAATCACAAGGAAGTCTCGTGCGTGATCCCCATCCTATGTGCCCACGCATTGTGTCATCAATCCGAGACGGCCACAATGATTCTTGGTAGAAACCACAGGTTTGGTGACACCTGGGAGTCTGAATCTTGAGAAGGTCTCGAGCGGGAGCCCCGTTCCTTGGTCGAGCGTCCATTGTAATCCGAGGCGGTCATTCTGGTCATTCTCGATGAAGCAGGACCAGCAGGTACCATACATGAAGAGACCCGCCGTAGTCACAAGGACGTCGATGAGGATGACTTGACGATCGCAATAAGATTCTCATGCGGGGTCTCACCGTCGGAATACTTTGCTAGCGTCCTTGGGGGCCAAAAAGGCCCACCCCTCCCTCCCAGCACCAGGTCGGGAGTGGGGCCCCTGGCCTGGGGGGTGGGGGTAAGTTGTGCTGCCCTCGGTGAGGTGCAGCCCCAGGGGGCACGGGCAGTCGCGGTCAAAAAGGCCCGAAAAGAACGAGGGGCCCGCGCGGCCGTTGCGGTCGGCAGGAACGGGCCGCGAGGGCAGGCGGGGAGCCCTGGGGGCGGCGGTCCCAAACTCTCCTCCCCCCCCCGGGCTCCACTGGGATGGGCGCGCGGGTTGCTTAGGGGATAAGGGAGTTACCAGTGGACGCCAGAGGGGTGTGATACCTTGCCTAAGCTAGCTTATAAGTGGGTTGCGCATGCCCCAAGTCACTTCGGGGGAGTAGGCAACTCCGCCAAGTGGGCGGAGCCCACTTCGCCTGAATCGCTATCCCCCCCAAGCCACTTGGGGCACTAGCAACCCACGAATGAGCTGGGGCTGGGTTAGGCCAGATACAACCTACCTTGGCATCCACTCATACACCCCCGATCGCAACCCCCGCGCCCATCCCAGCACTCCCTCTGCGCTCCACGCAGTCCATCCCCTCCCCCCTCAGGCTGCGAAGAAAACACGGCTGAAGGATTTTCATGCTTTTCGGCCTCCGGGGCCCTCGCCAGGCCCCGGGGCCGGCAACGGGAAAAGGTCGAGACATCTGAGGGTCGACGTTATCGTTAGATCGGGCGTGTCCCCCGACAGGCGGATTTTGGACGAACCATAAATAGCCAAACAATACCCGACAATAATCAACATGTAAATGTATATCGAAAGCAACAAAGAAAAAAGGCCCCAGACTATCTGTTTTTACTTTTTCGAACATTCCTACGGTAGAGGGACACGCCCGACTTAACGCTATCAGCAGAAACAAATGGCGTCGGGGGTTCGGGGCTCTCGGCTGCACCAGACAGACCAGAGGGTGGGTGGACAAAAACAAATACACACCAGCTCACACCCCAGGCCCCCGACGTCGTGATTGTTTCACGTGACCCCCAGGAGCCTGGATCTCCTCCTCCTCCTCCTCCCCCTCCTCCTCATCATCCTCATCTTCCTCCTCCCAAACCAGACCCCCGACGTCTTGAGCTCTCCATGACGTGACCCCCAGGAGCCCTGGACCTCCTCCTCCTCCTCCTCCTCCTCCTCCTCCTCCTCCTCCTCCTCCGTCCCCCTCCTCCTCCTCCCCTCCTCCTCCTCCTCCTCCTCCTCCTCCTCCCCTCCTCCTCCTCCTCCTCCTCCTCCTCCTCCTCCTCCTCCTCCTCCTCCTTCCCCTTCTCCTCCTCCCAGCCCAGACCCCCGACGTCGTGAGTTCTCCATGAAGTGATCCCCAGGAGCCTGGACCCCTTCCTGGGGACTGCTTCTTCATCCTGAGTCGTTTGCTTGACAGTCTCGCGAGGCCCGGCGAGGGCCCCCAAGGGGGCCGAAAATGGTGAAAACCCACCCCGCGTTGTGTTTTTTTCGCAGCGCGAGGCCTGGAACAGATCCTGCCCAGAAATTCATTGTCTTGATGTCCCTCGAAAAGCTCGACCCACCACTCCACTCCTGGGGGACTGGCGCTTCTGCTCCCGAGTGGCTTTTTTGGGGGGGACGGTCACGGGCGACTGCCTCCGCACTGCGTGGCCTCTGGGTGGCCAGGCCCGTCCCAGGCCCAGGCTCGGCACGCATTCCCTGGCCCTGGCCCTGGCGAGGCGAGGACAGCGCGTGCGCCGAGCCAAGGGCCCCGGACCCCCTCGCGCCGTGACAAGAAATCACGACGGGAGGCTTCTCGCTCTTTTCCAGCCTCCCGAGGAGCCCTCGCCGGGCCTCGCGAGACTGTCAACAAAACAACTCGGGATGAAAAGCCGGTCCCCAGGGGAGGGGGTGCAGGCTCCTGGAGGCCGCGTCAAAAGAAAATCACGACGTCGGGGGCCTGGGTTTGGAGCTGGTGTATTCTTGCCCACCCATCCTCGACTTCTGCATCGCATCGATCTGTCACGAACAAATCACGACCTCGGGGGTCTGGGGGCAGCGCCTGCGCCGACCCAGGGGCCCCGGAGCACGGGCCTGGCCCTAGGGCCGGGCGCATAGAGCACGCCTATGGCGCTCTCTCCGAAGGGGGGGGGGAGGGCTCTGGCCTGGCACTCCTCGAGTCTTCTCGTGGCGGTCCCTGCGGGGCCCGGCGAAAGGGCCCCGGGAGGCCGAACGAAGGCGGCCAAACACCTCCCGTGGGGATTTCTGCCCCGAAGCGAGGGGGTCTGGCCTGAGAGCCCAGGATCGAATCGACGAATCGGTTCGCCGATCGACGTGGATCGGATCGGCGCGGGAAAACGGGCAGCCCGAAAGACCATGAATCGGCGGACAAAAAATGAGGCCTCTATTTTGGGAGGCCGGAGTCCAAATCGGAATCCGAAGTCGAATCGGGACCGGAATCGGAATCGCGCCAGCCCGAACCGAATCGAGCCGGAGGCATCGAAACGAGCCCGGGGGGCGGGGGGGGCGGTCCCCAGGGAGCTCCCCGCGCCCCCTCGAGTTCTGCTCGCGGTGTGGCAGCAGGCCACCGGCCGCCCAAAGCGGAGGCCTCCCAACCTGGGGTCCGAGCGGACGGGGTCGGAGAAATCGAGAACTCGCGCCGCATCGCCGACGCCTCGGCGGCGCCGGCGCGGAGAACATCGGGCTGCACGTCGCGCCGCATCGCCGATGCATCGGCAGTGCGGCGCGATCTCCCGACACCATCCGAGCGAGCGGCCTTCAGCCGCAGCTTACGCGGGCCGCCAGCGCGGCACGCCACGCTGGAAACGAGGGCGGTGACGCGCTCTCTTACGCGCGATTGTCAGCGCAATCGAACCCTCGCCGTCGCTCGGACGTCCCTTTCCCGTGCACTGTTTGGTTTCGAGCAGGTTTTTTGGCTCGGTGATCCAGGATGCTCCTCGATGGTCCTCGCCGAGGAAAAATGCACGCGTCCGAACGGTGCCAAGTTTTTTTCGCATCGCTCATCTGCTCGGGCCCCACTTGGGAAGCCCAGATGCTGGGCGGCCAAGGCAGGCTCGCGGGCCGCCTCAGGACAGGGACGCGGCGTCGCTCTCCTCGGGCTCCGCGGTGGAGGTGCTCCCGCGGCCACTACGTGTGCTGGAGCGGGCCATCTTGGAGTTCCGCTGGGAAAACCCCTGGCGCCAGGGAGGAGGAGAGGAAAGAGGAGGAGGGCGGTGAAGAATGAGAGAGGAGGAAGAGGAGGAGCAGGAGGAGGAGAAGGAGGAGGAGGAGGAGGAGCAACACGCGGAATAAAAGGAGGCGGAGGAGGAGGAGGAGGAGGAGAACGAGGAGGAGGAGGAGGAAGAGGAGCAGGAGGGACACCCTGCCCTCCCCCTCCTCTCCTGCGCTCCTCTCTTCGCGGTTGTCCAGTCCTCTCCTCCTCCCCCGTCATCTCCATCTCCGTCGACCCCCACCTCCCTTCGTCGCGCAAGATCACGACGGGAAGTTCTTGCTATTTTTTTCTGCCTCTGTGGGGGGCCCTTGGCGGGCTCCAGGACCGTCAACTACTGTTCAAAATAGCTGGTCCAGGGAAGGGGTCGAGACCTTTGGAGGTCGAACTTATGAACAGATCATGACGTCGGGCCTCTGGGACTCGGTCTGGGAGAAGACGTGGCAAGTGGTTGTTCGTCGTTTTCGGCCTCTGGGGGGGCCCTCGCTGCAGTTCTTGGGGGTCCCAAGACCATGTGGTGACGGACCGTGCGGTGACCTCCAAATCCCAAGGGACCTTCCCGCACGCTGCATCAACGCACGGCTTTTTGAGACCCTGGAGGCTCCAGACGCCCGAACCCAGACATGCGACGTCCTAATTTTTTCAGGACGTCGGACGGCGTCCCTGGAAGTCCCGACCCTTTCCCTGGAACCAATGTTTCATCCTGAATCGTTTTTCGACGGCCCCAGGGCCCGGCAAAGGCCCCCCGGGGCCGATAATAGCGAAAACCGCAGTCCTGAATCTTTAACGACGCGATCATGTCTGGGAAACCAACCTCGGAGAACGGCCAGAATCCCAGAACCGTGCGGCCAGCCGAATCCCCACTGACTCGCCACGCGGTGCACTTGGTCTCACCACACTGGCAGGGGCCCCGCAAAGCCCCGGAGCCATCAAGCAACGGCCCCCGTGACGAGAAGCCGGCCCCGGCGAGGGGTCTAGGATTACTTTGTTCCCATCGTGCATCCCAGAAACAATTTCGAGCACCCAGAAAAGTATCAAAAGAGTGTCAAACGAGTATCGCCTCCCATGACCCGCCCAGTGAAGACCCTCCAGTTTCGGTACATTCTTGGTGCTGCTCGAAATTATCTGGTGATCAAGGCTAAAGTAGGTTGGTATTGTCATAAGTCTAGAACCCCTGAGGGTCGACGACGTGACACCATCGTGACATCGGAGATCTGGGGCGCATCTCTCCTGCGCCTTCGGCTCGCGGTCTTCCGATGGCCCTTGCCTCCCCTGCCGTCGCCAGCTCCACCGACGGCCACACACGAAGGTCTGTGGTGATGCTGGCGCGTGGGGCCCCAGCGATGCTCGTTCCTGTGCACTCTGGGCTCCTTTTTTTATCACGCAGCATAGATCGCGTCAGCCTGCGCTCCGGAAGTCCTGGCGGTCAGCTGCCAGAAGCTGCCCGCAGCACGGCGCCCCACATCAAGGGCACGGTGCTCCGCAGCAAAGGCACAGTGTTCCCCACACGCACGTTGCGACGACACTGGAGAGGCAAGTGGGGAGTTCCAAAAAGGTCTTTGCCTTCAAGGATCGAAGGAGTTGTCATCTCTTCCTCGGCGGAAAGCGGCGGAAGGACGGCGGAAGTAAAACGAGGCCGCCTCCGCCGGCGGAAGCCGTCGGAAGGCTGGCGGAAGGCGGCGGAAGTAAAAGATACGCCCCCAAGAGATGAAAACGTTTTTGGGTTCAAGGTTTGCGAAATCGCCCGTGTGAGAAACGCTACTGGGGGGGAGAACGAGTTGGATAATCAGAGGCCTGTTTTTTCGGAGGGCGGGGGCGGCGGCTCAGGGGGACACCAGGAGAGAAGTTGCCCGCGACGGCCGGTTCAGCGGGGCGGCCACGTGGCAGTGCACCAGGAGAGGCCTCGGCAAGCGTGAGCTGTACGCCAACACCTCTGAGATGCTATGTCTGCCCTGCGCGGCGCATCCTACAAACACAGACCATCTTACTACAAACAACGCGCAACGATGTGGGCAAGGAGTAGCTCCTTGCTCACACGGAAGGGAGCGGGAAACACACTCGCGAAATATATGTAATAAAAGTGTGCTCAGCGGGGCGGCTGCGTGGCAATAGCACCAGGAGAGGGTACGGCGAGCGTGAACTATGCGCCAAACATCTCTCGGATGCTGTTTCCTCTCTACGCGGCACGTCTTGATGCTTCTCCCAACCCTGGAGTTCGTGGGGGCTTCAATTTCTTCCAAGAAGATCGCGACGCGCCTCTGCGTCAGCAAATGATCGCCCCCTGCACATTTGACGCTGGCGAGACAGCCACAGGACCTGCCATGAAAATGATACGTTGGTGTTGCAGCAATGCGTGCACGTTGCGATTCGTAGGCGGCGAGCTCTACTTGCAACAACACGAACTGCCGAATTTGAAAACCAGCCGAGCGGCCCCCGCCACTCCTGCCAGAAGGGGTCTGACCTGACACCCTCCTGTGCAGATGCATTCGGATTCCCCCCTCCTCCGTCCGTCCCTCCTCCCCACCTGGAGTAAGTGACTCCTGCAAGTGGCAGCGACAGGCGGACGATCTGCCACGCTGCGCGTCAAGAGGCTCCCTCTGCTCCCGAAGCGCCCTGCCTAGGCTGTCTGGGCACCGCCCGTCACGGCATCGAGAAACCCTCGACGCCGTGCGAGGAGCCTGGACGTGGCCATCGCTGGCAGGGTGTGCGCGGGAAGGCCGGACCCGTGGTTGGCAGTCACGCTGCGCCGCGTGCGCCGCCTCTGGGCCGCCTTCGCAAACACGCTCTCCTCGGCGACCTCCCCCGCGTCGCTGTCCTCGTCCGACTCGGTGGAGGGGCTCCCGTGCGAGCAGCCAGAGCCTGCAAGGGAGGACGCCTCCGAAGGGCCGCCCCAGGCCTCTGGGCGAGGGGCGGTCGTCCGCCTGGGAGCGCGGCTGCACGGAGCCTCGGAGCAGGGCGAGGGTCGAGACAAGGGCAGCTCGAGCTCGCCTCCCGGGGCCCAAAGGCACCAGGTTTCCGAGCTGCGTCCAGCCGCGGCGACGAGGGCGCCTACCCCGAAGTGCAATCACCTTTGTCCCAACTGGCCCTCCACTGGTTGGAGTCGGCCGGGGGGTCTGAACTGGATGGGCCCCGAGAACAGAAGGAAAGAAGGGGGGATGAGGCACATCCGCTCAAAAGCAGTCCCTGCTGGACCCCTCCCAGGGTCCATCTGGTGCAAGTGTTGACCCAAGAACGGCCCCCGGAGGCCGAAAGAGGCAAAACGCCTTCCCGAGCCCAGAACCTCGACCCTTGCCCCCCCCACTTACTGCTGGCCAAAACCAGTGCTGGCCAGCCAGGACCCCCAGCCGACTCCAATCCCCCGGGGACCATCTCCGCGGGGGCCGGCGAAGGCTCCCGCCTCGCCGCGGAGGCCTCCGCGTGCTGATCCCCGCCCGCCGCGTCGTCCGCGACAAAGCGCACGACCTCGACCGTGTCGCTGAACGAGGGGCGTCTGCTGCCCGCCATCTCTGGGGCTCGGCGCGGGGGAGGACCGGCGGTAAGGACGCGCGGTAAGGATGCGCGGTAAGGATACAAGGGCCTTGGAAGGATGTTTCGAAGCTTGTCGGGCGGGGCGCGGCCAGCGAAAGTGGCCAAGGATGGACCGAGGAGGCAAGGATACAAGGGCAACGGTGGGAAGGTTGCCCATCCTTACCATGCGGCTTAACTGTAGTTGATGTTTAAAACGCTGGGGGCGTCTTCTTCCCTTTTTCAGGTTTCCCGTTTTCGACCAGACAAAACGGAAAACCAGACGGCACCCCAAAATATAACACGACTGCAAGACACAACGGAATCGAGCCGAACACGGCGGGAACGAGGATCCCAAACTGGAGAACACAGACCCCACAACGAGCAAAAGCGCCCACCAGCGTTTCTCAACACCATCTACGGTCCTGAATGGCCTCAATGTCCTGAGCCAAAGAGGCTGGAGTCTTCCCGTCCTCTCTCGTCGTCTCTCGTCCTGTCCTGCCCTGTCGGGCTTGCTTGGGCCTTCCTAGGTGCATCTTGGTCGGGCGCGCCCAAAAGGGGGGCGTCCCAGGGGGGGGCGCAAATCACGGCTCAGGGGGGGGGATGGGGCGGGGACGTACCGAAGTAAGAAAAGGCGTCTTGAGAAATCTGGGGAGATGTCATGGCCCCCGCCATGATATCCCCCCCCCTTAGTCATCACCCCCCTCCTGGCCGCCCCCGACTTGGAGTCCATCCCAAGCTGGTCCCGGCGCCGACCAGGGACTTGAAGGCTTCGCCGTCCGTTTCAGGGGGCGCCCCTCCCGTGGGGGCCCCGACGCCGCCCCCCCTCAGGGGATAGCCGGAGCTCACTCACAAGAGCGCCTGAGATGACTCCAAGACGGCCATACTCGAAGTCAGCCCGTACAGTAAGGATGTGCGACAAAGATGCCAGGGCCTTAGAAGGCCGTTTCGAAGCTTTTCGGGCGGGGCGCGGCCATCGAAAGTGGCCAGGGATGAGCCGAGGAGGCAAGGATGCGAGGGTACCCTTGGGATACCTGCCCATCCTTACTATGCGGGTTGACTCTAGCTCAAGATGGCTCCAGGGTGGCGCGCGATAGCCTAGGACGGTTAAAGATGGCCTCCACAATGCTGCCCCAAGAGGCTCCACGACCACCCCTGACACGGAGCCCCAAGATGTCCTTCAGCCCCGTTTGTCTTTTCAATGCTTTTGCCGTCTCGCCTTGTCGCTTCCGAGGGGCTTCTGAGGCCTCGGGCTGGCTCCAAAATCATCCCAGTGGGCCGAAGAGGTCTCAAGATAGCTGCGCTCGGAGAGGATCCCAATACACGATGTTTCTGCCTCCGACGAGACTAAGCTAATCAAGGAATCCCTCTCTTTGAAGACCCCCCTTCTTCGATGTCTTTCAAGATGGCTCCGAGATTTCTCGGAATAGATCAACAAATTGCCCCTGGATGGCCCCAAGAGAGCTTCGGTATGGCCCAAGTTCGCTGACAAGCGGCTCCCGTACCGAAACACCGCGAAAACGTGTGTGTGCTCGACTCCCAGGTGTGCTCACGCTGATCGCGACCTTCGGTTTGACCGCTGCCCCCCTCGCTGCTACACGGATTGCTACTACACGATTGTGATCAAGGCAGCTCGCCGTCGCCCGGGCAACCTTTCTGGATCGGCTGGTGGGGTTACGCGAAGCGCAAATAAATCACAATGCGTTTCATGACGAGTTCTACGTAAATTCTACGGGTTCCGTGGTTCTCACGACAGAGCGGCCTGGCGCACTCGGCGCATTTCGCGCACTGGAGGCACCTGGCACACGGGGCTGGCCCTGCCACTGCCCGTGTAGCTGGATAGCTGTCCACGTAAGAACCGACCTGCATGGTCTGGAGCAAGGGTCAGTGGAACAACAGAAGCTGCAGAAACAGCAACTGTCGGAGGTCCGCAGGGAGCTCTCTTGGATCGGCGCTGCCCCCCCCCCCCCCTGGCGCGCGGAGCGCACCAGGGGCGGTGCCAGAGGCGCCGCCAAGGCCCAAGCGCCGATCCACGAGCCACGAGGTATCCGCGCGGACCTCCGAAAGTTTATGTCTGTGCACCTGTTTCCTCTTCGGGGGGGGTGGGGGCGGCCAGGGCCCAAGGGGCGAGGTGCCATGCAACCTGCGAGAGAACGGCGCTCACGCACCGTGCCTCGCCCCAGCGCGGCACGGTGCAGGGTTCTTCGGCTCCGAGGGCCGGAAAAAAACGATGCACCGTAATTGCCCTTCCTGGGTCTAAGGCCGACGACGCCTCGGGGGACGCCAGCGCGGCGCGGTGCTATACAGGTCGTCCGCGGCGGGCAACCGCCAGAAGACCCCGCAGACAAGGGCGAAACCAACGGGGGGGGGGGCACGCGAGAGGGGGTGGCAGTCCGGCACCGGCAGGGGCAGCCGAAGGGCGGGGGACGGCACACATCGGGGCAGCGGGAGGCAGGCCGGGGGCAGAGCAGGGGCTAGAGGCCTCCTAGATGGGTTCCGAGTAGATGGGGTCGGAGGATCGCGCTGCATCGCCGATACATCGGGGATACATCGCCGATGCATTGGCGATGCATCGGCGACGTCGGCATGCTTCATGACGTGTAGGAAATCGGGCTCCACATCGAGCCGCGTCGGCGATGCATCGGCGAAGCGGCGCGATCCTGCGGCACCGTCTACTCGGACCTCATCTAGGAGGCCTCGAAGGGTGGAGCCCTCGAGAGGAAACCCCAGGATCTCCAGGAAGGCACAGGCAGCAACCGAAGGCGTGAGCAACAAACAGAAACATCTATAGGAGACCCGGAGGTCCTGGCGTTGCGATGTTTCCACCACGGGCGTTCTCGAATTATTTCGGGTCCTGGGACCCTCACAGATCCAGCTCGAAAAATGGCAGAAAAATTGGGTCCATGGCCCCGGACATGATTCCTGTGGTGGTTGACGCAGAAGGGCGAACGTGCTCAAGAAGCTGGGCAAGCTTTCTGGCAGGTCGGTGAGGAAACGCTGGCCGAGCTGTTCGGGAACCGGTCTCTGAATCAGATGCGGAGCCCCGTGGGCGGCATCCAGTGCTACCCCCAGGCACGCACTGCAGGTGGGTGGCAATTCTTCCCAAAACAGAAGGGAACAATGATTCGGAAACGTGGCAAACAAAAAACGAATACACCTCACTACGTTTACGACACGGGAAGCGGCCAACCCGTGTCAATGCGGCCACGCACCGCTGCCCCTGACAGAAGACATCATGCGAGTCGCAAGCTGCGGCACAGACTGAGCAGCACGGCCTTCCCCCACCGTGCAGCAAACCCGATGCCAAGTGCACGTCGCGAGTTGTTTGTGTAGCAAGGTGTTGCAAATATCGACGCTACGGCTCTGAACTGAAGCGATAATGTGTGGGACCATCGCCGTGACAAGGACGCATCTGGCGCCCAAGGCAGACCTGGCGCACCTGGCGCACATGTGGCGCCTGGCACACCAGTCGCATTTGGCGAACTGGGCCGACCTGGCTCATCTGGCTCGCCTTGCGGAACTAGCCTCAATCCCACCAACCCTTTGGGCTAAGGTGGTCCAAAGATATTATCTTCCTTGCCTCTTCTAACACCCCCCTTCAATTCGGGGAGGGGTACGCTCCCCCATCCCCTCTCTGAGTTTTTGTTGGGGGCGGGCCGCGATCGGTCAGAGCGTCCAAGATGGCCCAAGATGGCTCCATGAGGGCCTCCGATGCTCCAAGATGGCCTCCAAGATCGCTCAAGATAGCCACAGGGGGCTTAAAGTGGCTTCCCACGTACGTACATCCAAGAGGTCCGACGAGGGCCACAAGAAAGTCCCAAGTGCTCTCGGAGCCCCTCAGGATCCCCCCCCAATAAGCCTAACTCCCAAAACAGTGAGAAATATATAATTCCTGCCTTTTCGCCGTTTCGCTTCCGATGCGATTTTGAGCCCTCGAGATGGTCCCAAGATGTCAAGATGGCCCAAGAGAGGCCCCCCTTACAAGCCTAAGAGCACCACAGAACGGCACAACGTTGATGGATGCTCTACAGAGTGGCCCCAAGAGGCCTCACGTGGCTACTAAGAGGGCCCTGAGAGAGACCCAAAACGGCCCAAAGAGGGCCCCTAAGAGGGCCCCAAGATGGCCCCAAGAGCGCCCCAAGAGCGTGCCAAGCGGGCCCCAAGAGGATGTGTGGCTCCTCCTCCTCCTCCTCCTCCTCCTTTTCCTCCTCCTCCCACTGCCAACCCGCGGGCCCCAGGGGTGGCCCGAAGAGGCCCTCCAAGGCCACCCCATTGCTCCCATCGATCTCTCTGTTCATCCAAGTTGCCCGCTTTGCTTCACCAACAGTATGTGTCCTTCGCCCACTTCCCCGTCAGCTCTGGGACTGGGTTTTTTGAAAGGGTCAATGAAAATACACGAATCGTAAAGAATACTTTCTACCCGCAGATGCCAAGGGGATGAATAATTCGACATTCCTTTCAGGAACTTGTCCTGCAAGCCCCCGCTTAGCCCCACCAGTTCCAATAGCCCTACTTTTCTCCAAGACTGCTGGCCAACACTTACCCATAGCAGCCGGTGCCTAGCCTCAGGAGCCCTAGCCCTGGTCTTGCCCCCACATGCCCAGGTTGCTGACAAAACGCTGGGCGGTGCCCCTACCCTATGAGTCTCGCCCAACCCCAGGAATCCTTCATGTCGTGTTCAGGAGTGTTTGTCACCACCACTTGCCCCTCCTTGCCCCCTGCCTAGCCGCCGCCCCCCATTGCCGCCACGAGCCCCTGCTTGCCCCCGCTTGGTCCCGCTCATCAGAAGCTGCCGACGGAAGCCACGACGGTCGCCACTGGTCCAGACTGGCCCGTGGCTGAGACGCCAGCCTCTGACTCTTGCCGCGCTGTTCGCCAGCAGCATGCGTGCAGACTAGGGAGGGCCCCCGGTCGAGAGCTCCACCTTCGCGGTTGTCCGCCAGGCAGCAGTCGCATGTGACATCCAACGGTGGATCGGCGCGCGAACGACGCCACCTCTGTAGTTGGACCAGGGGCCTCCAAAGCGCGGACACGGCGGCTTGCTCGGAAAGCATCGGAGTGCCCTCTCCTCGAGCTCAGCAGGCATCTCGCGGGGAGGCGAAGCGATCTGCAGCTGAAAGTTCTGGCAGGGAGCGCAAGCGACGCACGATGCTACTTGCGCGCGGGCCCCGAGGCCGCCCGGGGACCCCCAGTCGGCACCGCAGCATCCCAACACCCCATGGACCTCGAAAAAAACTTCAGGCCTCTGGATTTTGCGAGGCCAGCCTGGGAGGGCGTCAGGATCGTCGCCGAACGTCGTCGGCAACGAGGGCCGAACGCCGGACGACGGAGCCTAACGCCGGACGCGGAGGATTGTCAGGATCGTCGCCGAACGCCGGCGTCGGAGCCTGGGAGGGCGGAGGACGGTTCCTGGGCGAGGCCAGTCTTGGAGAGGGCCTCGAGATCGTCTCCGCGTGTCGTCCGAGCCTTGGCCTTTGTCAGCGATGCTAGGCCTCGGAATGTTCGACGCAATGCCTAGCGATCGTGGTCACACGGCATCCTAGCCCCCATCGTCAATTCTGCGGGTCGGGGGGCAAGGAATGCGGCACTCTCAGAGCTGGCTTAAAGTTTGCTGGACGCCGTTGTTGATGTTTAGGGTGCCCCGCCTGTTGCCCCCCTCAACTACGACTGCCCGGGGGAGACGCAGGATGGCGCAGCCGCGCCTGTGGCGCGAGTGCCAATCGCTGTGGTCTGTACAGCACTGCCACGGGCAGCCTCGCAGGAGGTAACCTTGCGCGAGGCAGCGGACGCACGGATCTGCGGGCGCGTGCCCTGGACAGCGACTCGCAAAACTCGGCTCGAGACCACAGGCTAGTACGTCGGGAGGCTCGGAAGCGTCGTGGAAGACATGAATGCAGGCTTGCATATAGAGGATTGGTGCCGTGGCCTCCTGAGGCGCTTATTTCTTGTGGTCGCAGCCGCAGCCAGAAGCGGCCACGACTGCAAATGCGGCGCGCACAGCGTCGTTGATAAACCGGAGAGAAAAAGCAGATGTCCTGTCAAGTTCGATTCCTCACTGGTTGTAATGGCTGTCTGGCCCCTGAATGTGTAACCCCTGCCGCTTCCCACTAGCCTTGGCTGCCACCAGAAAAAGTAGTTCCACTCACTCGCACAGCTTAGCCCCTGCCTAGCCCCACTAAACCAGCTTGACACGAAAACCGCTGGTTGCCGCTCCTAGTCTATGCAAACCAACCACGGTTGCCGAGCCTCACATGCTGCCACTAGCCTCCAAGAGCCCATACCTAGCAGCAGCGGCAGGAGCAGCTGCAGCAGCTTGGGAGCGAGCGCACTCTGCATGCCGCTGTGCGTGTGGCTGTTCCATGCTTGCTCTGTCGCGTCAGGCTGTGAGGCCGACGCTGCTTGAGGTCCACGCCATTTTCGCTTCGCCATAGTAGCGGATGACTGGCTCGCGTCCAGCGCTGCTATCTGTCATCCCGTCCTGAAGGGCTTCCGGCTGCGCACAGTCAGCCGCCTAGGCAACCCAGCGCCAGGATGCTGAGACCGCCCCAGACCGCTCGGGGGGGCGGCTGATGCCAGCTGGGGCTAACCGGAGGGGTGCTGTCTGCGCGCAGCCCGAAGCCTTGACATCCCTCGGTGGCAACTCATTGGAGCCTCCAGTACCATCTTGTCCACTCTTGCGAATCGACGCTTGTCGACGCAAAAACGGCGCTAATCGACGCTAAATCGACGCTCACCGACGCCAGCCGACGCTAGATCGACGCTACCCGACGCTAGCTCGTCGCGAATCGACGCTAACCGACCCTAAAAACTGAATTCTAAGGGTACACCAGGCTCCCCTGATCCGCTACCGAAACATCCAACTCCTCTCCGGCCCCCCCCCCCCCTGGCTGGGCCTTGATGGCGCCCAGCAGCATGATGCTCCCGTGCTTGTGCGAGTCCGTGAACGCGTCTCTGGCGGCAGGCTCCAGTACCTCCGGGTCGTTGAAGAGGATGTTTGTGCTGCCAGGCTTCTCCTCCGCCTCCTCCTCCACGGCGCCCAGGTCCTGGCGATGGATCGCTTGCTCTGTGCTGGTCCCGTCGTACTTAAAAAGGACCACATCCCAGACAGAATTCCGAGCACCCAGAAAAAGCATCGAAACAGTATCGGACGAGTATCGCCTCCCAGGGCCCAACACGTGAAATCCTTTCAGTTGCGGTACTTGCTTGGTGCTCGAAATTCTTCCTGGTGGTCAAGGCTAAAGTAAGTTGGAACACCCTAACGCTTGCCCTGTGTCAGGCATGCAGAAGCACGAAACACCGCACTTGCATAAACTTCCGAAACTCCGCGCGGACTTCTCGGATCGGCGCCGTGCCTCCCAGGCGTCGCCTCCAGCGCCGCCCCTGGCGTGCGGAGCGCGCCAGGGGGATGTGTAAGGAATGGTAGCGAGGGGGCGAGTAGGAACATGGAGCATAGGACGGGCATAGGACGGGCGGGTGTTGTGTGTGTGCGTGCGTGCGTGCGTGCGTGCGTGCGTGCGTGCGTGCGTGCGTGCGTGCGTGCGTGCGTGCGTGCGTGTGTGTGTGTGTGTGTGTGTGTGGTGTGTGTGTGTGTGTGTGTGTGCGTGTGTGCGTGTGTGTGTGTGTGCGTGTGTGTGTGTGTGTGTGTGTGTGTGCGTGTGTGTATGCGTGTGTATGCGTGCGTGCGTGCGTGCGTGCGTGCGTGCGGGCGAGCCATTGTTGTGAGAGGGCTGCGCAGGCCGATTTACAGTGGAGTGACGGGCAGGGCGGGGCGGGGCGGTCCCGAGTGGGCGACACAGGCGGGACCCTAGCCAGCTGGCGGTGTGGACAGCGCGGCAGGACCGTGATGGGCAGGGCGGGCAGGGCGGGCGGACGAAGCTGGGCGCACTTCGTCGAGCGCGGAGAGGACATGTCTGGGCGTCCTCAGATCCTCCCACCGCGATCGAACTCTGGTGCTGAGGTCATCGCGCTCGCCCCTGCCGCCACCAAACTGTCACTGTGGACAAGTACTACCGTCCCCGCCCACAGCGGAGAAAACTTGGCCATGCTGGCCGACCTACCCACCCGTATGTGGGGATGCATACCGTTTCTTTCGGGCATCGCAGCATGAAACCACACCACAGTAAGTGCGCTGGGAGTGCAACCTGACCATGTCCCAGAAGAGGTTGGGAACAATTCTCACAACGCTGAATCACGCGCCTGGTCAAGCCATGCCATGCCCAGTCAACCCAAGCCATGCTGGGCCAAGCTGACGATCGCGACGGCCGAAGAGAGCGAGGCAGGGTTCGGCGAGGGACGACATCGTAAGACCAACTGTCGTGAGGACAGCTGTCGTAAGAACAACACAACTTACCAAACCAACCGTTCTCACGCGGCTCTTCCTTGTCACACGAACGGCCCACAGAACTGTAATAACAGACGAGTGTTCCCGTGCTCCCACGGGGAATCCAAACGGAGGGACGAGGAGTAGGAGGAGAAGGAGGGAGAGGAGAAGGATGAGACAGGACGGAGAAAGGTGAGCCAGACGATGAACAGGAGCAACGTTGTGATATCGGACGCAACACCATCGATGCGACCACGAGAAAGACGGACACGGCTGCGCGCAGGTTCGGCTCCGAGCCGACTGACATCTGCATGGCGTCAGTGAAGAGGTTCGTAAAGAGGACCGCGTACTTCGCAACGTAGTGATGGGTCTCCACGTCTTCCTCAAGCTCAGGGCATCGGAGAGAGAGAGAGAGAGACCGCCACATATCTCCGACGCAATGATTGTCCAAAACGTTGAACCCCAGAGGTCAGGACCCCTTCCCTGGGACCGGTTTTTCATCCAGAATAATTTTCTGACAGTCATGGGCCTGGCAAAGGCCCCCAGCCAGAAAATTAATCAAACACCCTCCGTCAACATTTCTCCACCACGGGGGGAGGTCGGGGGGACGGCGCAGACCTGTGGCGGGTTCCGGGAACCCCGAACCAAAAAAAACTTGCTATCTCCGCCAGTCTTCCGCCGGCTTCCGCCTGCGAAGGCGTTCTTGTTCCGCGTCCCGGCTTCCACCAATCTTCTGCCGCCTCCCGCAGGGGAAGAGATGACAATGTATTCGATCCTCGAAGGCGGGGCCATTTCTGGGGACGCGTCACATCGACTGACTAAGGGCCACTGGGGGCTCCCCAAGATACAGCCGACCCTTTTCATAAGGATGCGCGATGAGGATAAGCCCACTTCGAGACTTTCTGGGCGGGGCGCGGCTAGCGAAAGTGGCCAGTGATGGACCGGGGAGGCAAGGATGCAAGGGTACTCTTGGGAAGGGTGCCCCTCCTGCCTATGCGGGTTGACTGTAGGCACACGCGCACCTGCCACGCGACGGCCTCTGTGCTGAGGTGTCGGCTCGGCATGGCCGCACAGGGGTGCGGTGGGAGCCGAACACAACCGGCAACGCTGGCACAGGCCGGAGCTCAAGAGACGAGCAGACTTTGGCGCGAGGGAAACAACCCTCGATAACAGAGAGCGGGTGGCGTCTTAGAAGCCAGGGGCCTTCTAAAAAGCCCTCCTGGAGGAGGAGGAGGAGGAGGAGGAGGAGGAGGAGGAGGAGGAGGAGGAGGAATGGGAGGAGCAGAAGGAGGAGGAGGAGGAGGAGAGGAGGAGCAGGAGGAGAAGAAGGAGGAGGAGGAGGGGGAGAAGGAGGAGGAGGGGGAGGAGCAGGAGGAGGAGGAGGAGCAGGAGGAGGAGGAGGAGGGGGAGAAGGAGGAGGAGGGGAAGGAGGAGGAGGAGGAGGAGGAGGAGGAGGAGGTGGGGGAGGAGGAGGAGCTTCTCACGAGCTCCAGGGTCCTTCTGAGAAGCTGCCTGCTGGGAAGCCTTCGGCCCTCGCTCAAGGCCCCCCCTCCCTCGCGCGGATGCCCCCCCCTCGCGCGGCGCCAACCTTTGGAGGAAGTCTAGAGGCATCAATACCAGTGCTCCCTGGACCCCTCCCAGGGTGCGTTCAGACTAGAATTTCGAGCCCCCCAAGAGTCTCCCATTACAGTCGAAATCGATAGTAAGGACGGGCGGTATGGACGCAGGGGCCTTGGACTCCGAAGTTGCCACTTTTTGGGCCGCGGGCTGCCAACACCCTGAGGAATTGGACAGTGAAAACGGCGGAGGACGGGCCGCAGAGGCAAGGACACGAGGGTACCCCAAGGACATCCGTGTGTCCTTACTCTGAGTTTTGACTGTAGGCCCCAAAACTGTCCCCAAGAGACCCCCGAGAGCGCCCCTTAGATACCTAAACAAGCATCCTTGATGACCCACAAACTAGGCACGGCGGACTAAGAACGGAACTCCTGCGGCATGCGATCGCAATCTTGCTCTAAAGAACCTTGGGTCACACTCGTCGTCGAACGTTGACGGTCATGCGGAGCCCCAATGTTTCTGGTCCCTGGTGCCATCGGGGGGGAATTTTCTGCCGGCACCTGCCGGCAGGCTGATTGCGTCTCTGATGTGCCAAGCTGTCTCCTGTAATTACGCCCGCATGTGCAGTCGAGTGTACAAATGCCTTCCTTGCGGTCCACGTCGTGGACTCCAAAGAAGTCATTCGTGCAACAAGTGCGGAACTCCGCGCGTGTGGACCCCTGTCTGCAGAGCCCCATGCGCGTGCAGACCTGGCTGTATGGAATCCAATAGCGACCAATGCAAATCGATGGGAGTCAAACCAGTCATCATCGTACACGAATGACAGGGCCAGTGAGGGGTAACGCCTTGCATGCGAGGAGCAATAATCGGCATTCACATGATTTCTCGGAGGTCCGTGCAGATGTCTTGGATCAGCGCTGGGCCCCCCCCTGGCGCGCGGAGCGCGTCAGGGGCGGCGCCGGAGGCGCCGCCAGCGGGGCCCAATCGCCGATCCGAGAAATCCGAGCCGCTGTTTATGGGCTTTTTCGACCTCTAGAACCCTATGGGGGTCAACGCAGCCAATGTGGAGTGCGGCAGACAGGGCCAGTGGGGGGTATAGCGTCATGTGCAGCCCTCACAACAGGAACAGCCGCCATCGAATCGGGGAACTGGCTTGGGTCGGAAGGTGCATCGGATCGGGTCGCACCAGCTCGGAACCGGAATCGAATCGGATCGCCGGCGCCAGGATGAGCAAACAACGCCGTGCAGGCATCGGGCCGCATCGGATCGTCGGAGCCCCAGAGCCGCATCGGGCCGAGCTGGGGTCGATGCCGAGCCGGACGGATCGGCTCGAGAGTACCCCCCTCCCCGGACAGGGCCGGTGCGGGCGCCGGGTGCGCTCCTGTCCCGGAAGGGCCCCGGCACGACAGAAGACGAAGACGAGTCCGCTCGAGGTCGGTCGGCCAGGGCCCAGAAGTGCCCCAGCTCTTCCAGCCGCGCCAAGCCGTGGCGACGAGAGGCCCCCCGGAAGGCATCCCAAAAGGCGACGAGAAGAAGAGGCCCCCTTCCTCTGCGGGCCCCGAGATTGTATACACCACCACCGCGTCGATCCCCCCTCCCTCCTCTACCCTCCTCGTCCACTCCTGCTCTATCCTGGGAGAGGGCGGGGGCGAGGGAGGTGGTTGTGGTGCACATTCTTAGGCCCCGCATCCTCTCCCGTTCTTCGGCGGGCCAGGGCTGGTGTGGCGCCATGCCCCAGACCCCGAGGCGCAGACCCCCGGCCACGTCGACCCCCCGGGGTCTCGAGCCCCCTTCCCCGGGACCAGAGTTGTTTTTCCTCCGCGAGTCGGCTTCTGGCGGTCCCGAGGCCTGGTCGAGACCCCCACCAGAGGCCCGAAAACGGCAAAACACCTCCCGCGGGTCATGAGAGCAAAAAGAGAGAGCCACTACCACCTGAACTCGGTTCCCAAAGGCCCACCCCCGCCCCCAGAGCTGGCGGCACTCCGTTCCGGGCGCTCTCTGGGGGCGCTCTCTGGGTTCCGGAACGAGGTGCCACCAGCTCTGGGAGGGGGAGCAGCCAGCCCCCCTAGCTGGTGGTAACGTTGGGTCGGGCATGTCCCCCTACAGGCGGATCTTGAATCTTGGAAGAAGAACTGAAAAGAGTCCAAACAAATCAGCAATTTTCATACATGGTCAAAACATCGCCCCCAGACTATTTTTTGATTATGATTGTGACATGTTCCTCCTGTAGAGGGACATGCCCGACTGAATACCTGGTAATGCTTCTTTCTCCTCTGGGGAGCTGTGCTGCTTTCGCGGCGCGAGGGGGTCTTGGGCCGACTCCACCCCTGTGAAACCCCTTGGCGGGAGTCGACGGGGCGCAGTGGCGGCGCGCTCCAGGGGGTATGGGGAGGGGGAAAGGCTTCTTAGACGTACGTCGGGCATGTCCCCCTACAGGCGGATTCAGGATGAAAAATCAGAAATAACCAAACAAGATTCAAACATAATCCCAAAATGCTAGAAAGATCGTCCCCAGACAATGTTTGTATTATTTTTGCAGATTCCTCCTGTAGAGGGACAAGCACACCTAAACCTTAGAAGGAGGCTGCCTCTCGGAAGGCGCGGGCCGCACACCTGCTGACAAGGCCCGCGCCTCCTGAGAAGCAGGATGCTGCTGAGAAGCCTCCCCACGACGAGGCCCGGGCGAAGACCAACCATCGGGTGATGAGAAATCGAAAGTCTCTGAATTGCCGCGGCTCTGGAGAATGCCTCCGGCGAGCCGCGGCCCACGCACGGAGAGTTCCGGAACGCTCTGGAACGAACTTATCCTCGTCCTGGCCGCGTCCGATCCCCCCTTCCCCCCTGCCCCCCTCTGAGCGTGGTCGCGCTCCTTCGCGATGATGCGGAAGGCGTCCGCGTCGACCAGCAGCGCGTCACAGCCGCTGGAGCCGGCGACCTGGGAGAGGAGACGGGCCGCTCGCTCGGCGTGGCCGCCCGCACCCTCGCTCGCAGTGGGGGGGATGCCTCCTCCTCCTCCTCCTCCTCCTCCTCCTCCTCCTCCTCCTCCTCCTCCTCCTCCTCTCGCTTAATACACTGGAAAAGCCCATGCCAGGAAACACCCTGCTTGCCTCCAGGGTGCCCTGGGCTTCTTGGGTTTCGATGGTTTCGCTGTGAAAAGCGTGACGCTCCCACACCAGAAGTGAATGGACGTCCTGGGGTCTCGGGTTTGGTTTCTTGTGGGAGGTTTCTTGTTGTCGAGCTCCTACTATACCATCTTGAGCAACGCCAGATAGGGAGCGAGGCCCCTTTATGGCTCCAGAAGCGGCTCGGTGCACGATGAGCCCTACAGGAGCGACCATGAAAGGGTCTCAGGAACAGCGAACCCCGTCCGAACCCCAACTTCTCCTTGCTGCAGCGTCTGGACTGTATGGCCACCGCCTGAGAGCTCGCAGATGGCGCGGGAAAGCGGGGACACCTCGGGCCAAGACATAGGACCACCATTGGCGAACACCCTAGTCAGGCACTTCTGCTTGGCGTGTCGCAGCGGCGGCCCCAGCGATACGCTAGTCCCTGCAAGCGGATACCGTGTCGCTCCGCTCCGAAGGCGAGGGGGCTGGCGAAAGGCTCGGGACTGTGACTCTTGGGGGCTGGGACGTGGTTAGCGCGTCGCGCCGAAGCGTGGTGGGCCAGAGCCTGTGGAGTGAGACGCGAAGCAAAAGTTCCTGGCCCCAGGATGTGGTCCAGCATGTTCTCTACCCTCGGATTTTGGAGGACACAAATTGCATAAAAGCCCCAAAAAACAGAAATTGCCAAACATAATCGAACCTCGTCACTAGACTATTTCTTTACTATTCTTGAATATGCCTCCTGTCCAGGGACATGCCCGACTTAACCCTACGGGTGGAATGTGTGGGTGTGGGGGGGGAGGGAGCAGCCGCGCGTCGCCGCCGCTGGAGCCCCTTCGGCCTGGAACCGGGGAGGCCTCGCGCGGCGTCCTCGCGCGCGCGGCCCTCGAGGCGAGAGTTCGTGCCGGAGTGGACGTGGGGCGTTCTACAAAGGGCCTCGCCTTCCAGTGGGAGGCAACTACTGGGAGGTCTTCGTCGGAAGGACTGAGGAGGATCATGCCCCATTGGGGGGCTGTTACGCCAGAGTGGGCCTCGGATTAAGCGGGAGTGACCCGGATGTAAACGGGATCCAGCGGGATTCACCGGGATCATCTTTTCAGCGGGATTAGGCTGGACATCGGACCAGGGCAAAACCTGAACTCGACCTCCCAGGAGTTGCATCCGAACCTTCGGGGATTGACTGAGGTATCGCTTCTTCCTCGGCGGCAAGCGGCGGAAGGTCGGCGGACATGGAACGAGGCCGCCTCCGCCGGCGGAAGCCGCCGGACTTCCCAGGGACGGGCTCCTCATCCTGAGCCGTTCCTCGAGTCCCGAGGCCCAGGGAGGGCACCCGGAGGTCGAGCAGAAGTAGCGAAAAAAACCTCCCGTCGTGATTTTCTTCACAGCGCGAGGAGGTATGCTGGGACGGGCGCGGGGGTTGCTAAGGGGATAAGGGGGTTGATCAGTGGACGCCAACGCGAGTTATACCTGGCCTGACCTAGCTAATAAGAGGGTCACACATGCGCCAAGTGCCAGGTGGCTTAGGGGGAGTAGACAACTCCGCTAAGTGGGCGGAGCCCACTTAGCCTGGATCGCCCCCACCGACCGACTTGGGGCATTAACGACCCACAAATGAGCTAGGTTAGGCCAGGTATAAGCCACCTTGGCATCCACTGGTAGGCCCCCTATCCCCTTAGCATCCCCCCGCGCCCAGCCCAGTGGGGAAGGGGGCGGGTCGATCGGGCGGACCCTTACGGGCGGGCCGGTCGGGCGAGCCCCGACGGACGGGCGGGGCGGGCGGAGGCCTCAAGCGGCCAGGCTTCCTCACAAGAGCCGTGGGGAGGACGCGGCGGGCACGCATGGGCAGGGCGGGACGGGACACAACTACACGAGAGGAATACCCCATTCAGTGGATGGTTTGACGACAACGAGCGGGAACCCATAACCAGGAACCCGGGAACCCGGAACCGGGAATCCGGGAACCCAGCCGGCTACCAAAATCGGCGGAAAACTTTCGCCAAATCTGTCAATACCCGCTAGGACCTCTTCAAGCACTGATTGGGGAAAGACGGACTGCCGGCGCTGCAAACACGCGGGCCAAACAGACCAGGCGAAGCCGGGCGCTGGCTAACACCGGATCGGCCACACGCAAGTGCGGCCCCGGGCACGGGTGACGCTTGGTGCGCGGCGTTGGGGGGGCCGCGGGGGGCCGAAACACACGCGCGCAAGACGCTACTATCGCTTCGCCGAACGCGGGGGGCCCCGGTGGGCCCGCACCCAAGGTCACTCCGGCGAAGGGTCACTCGCGTAGTCGACTGGGCAGAGCCGACTACAGTGAAATCGCCGGGCGAACCCCACTGGGCGAAGCCGGCTGTCGGCGGCGAGCGAGGGGTGGAAGTGAGAAGGAGAAGGCCTTCTCAGAAGGGGGCGGGACTTCTCAGAAGCCCTCGCACCTCTGCCCTGGTGGCTGCGGCACCCTCCCCAAGACAGAAGACCGCGCGAGTCGGAAATAACGGCGCGGCGAAATATGCCCCAAGCATCATTTCCCATTATTATTTCCCAAAAGACAAGGAGGAAGAGCAGCAACAGCATAATCAGGAGGAGTAGGAGAAGCAGGATGATCAGGACGGCGGAGGATGGAAAAGGAGGGGGACGGCGGATTCACCAAAGTGGCCCACGCGTGGGGCGAGAACAGAAAGCCACACAACGAGCAACAGGGCCGAACCTGACAGTCGGACGTCGCTGCATCGTGAGCACCGCAGTTGAGCGCGGTGAAGACACAAGACGTGAAGAAATTCTGCGCGCGATCAAGGGGGAGGAGGAGGAGGAGGAGGAGGAGGAGGAGAAGGAGGAGGAGGAGGAGGGAGGAGGAGGAGGAGGAGGGGAGGAGAGGAGGAGGAGGAGGAGGAGGAGGAGGAGGAGGAATAGGAGGGACGAGGAGGAGGAGGAGGAGGAGGAGGAAGAGGAGGGACGAGGAGGAGGAGGAGGAGGAGGAGGAGGAGGAGGGAGGAGGAGGAGGGAGGAGGGAGGCGGAGGGAGAAGAAGTTCTGCGCGCGACCAAGAGACATGTGCAGGCGGAAGAGGCGGCGCCCCGCACCGGACACTGGCGGGGGCGAGGAGGGACTCGCCACCGCTCGGGCGTCCTGTCCGCCTGCATGCTTGGACCTTGCACGCGTATGTTTCGCAGGATGATCCCAACATGCTCCTCGATAGAGTCGCGCCGAGAGAAAACAAAACACACGTCCGAGCGATGCCATGCGGGAGTAGTGCTCATCTCGAGTAGATGCTGCGGTCGCTGAGGAGGTCGACGACGACGTGAGCGGCGGGGGGAGGGCCCCGGGCCGAGGGGACACGCTCCAGGGCAACTGGCCCAAAAGCGGGGGCGGAAGATCGGCTGGGAACTGACGATGCGTCGCCGATATGTATCGGCGACATGCCCACGGTGCCGAAGCCACACGTTCCTGGGCGGGGCTTGGGCGCATATGAATGGGGGGCGACAACTGAGGGGGGAGCAGAGTGCCCTCTTCGGGCCCTCAGGGCCCACCTCTGGGCCCTGAGGGGCCGTCCAGTGGTCCTGACAAGGCCCCTCTCTGCAGCCCTCGCTGCCCCCCACATTGATCGCCCCCCCCCCTCGGACGCGTCCTCCGGGAGGCGGGACATCAGGCCCCTGCTGGCGATGAAAGGGCGAGCGGGTGTCGATGCGCTCCCCATCCCGAGCCCGCCCCCTGGTAGCTTTCGGGTCACGGCTCGGGCCTCTGGCTGCCGTGCAGGGTATCCAGGCCCTGGAGGATCGCTCTCGGCGACGCCGGGAGCCAGCGAAGACGCCCAGAAATCTCGAACCTCGATCCGAGCCCCCTGAGCCCCTCCCCCCACGAACCCAGTCATCCGACGCTCCGACTTTTGCAGCGCGCAGCCCCACAAATCCCGACCCCTTCCCCGAGATGATCTCTGTTCGCCCCAGAGCCGTGCTTGATAGCCCCTGCGCAACAAAAATAACCGAGAGGCCGAACTCACTGTACAAAAAAACGCCTGGACTGAAGCACGAACAAAGGCCAAGAACTTCTGCATTGCATGCCGCGGCGGCGGAGCCAGAACGACATGTAAGGGTCCTGGGAGCCGAAGCCGAGGGAAAACGCCCGCTGGGGAAGAAAGGAACGCCCGGATCTGACGGTACAAAATTCCCGACCGTATGACAAACGCCCAGATTGAACAAATCGTATCTTCGGAAATCCGACAGCGCTGCCTCTGAGAAGGGCACTCATTTCGTGGCTGAGGGGGCGGCTGCGGGCGTCGTCGTCGTCGTCGTCGTCGACCTCGTCGAAGCCGCCGTCCTCCTTCAGGGTCGGCAGCACCAGCGGTAAGGCCTTCGCAGTCGTATCGTCGGACGTCTGTCAGCGCTGCTCCTGAAAAGGGAGCCCTGGCGCGGCCAGGGACAAGAAACGTGTGAGGGGTGTGCCGAAATTGACACGCTGACGACTAAGGCAGGGAAGGTGTGAAAGAGGGGGAGGAGGAGATCAGGGCGACCGAGCAGGATGGTTGCTAAAACACACGTATGTATCGTCGAAGCTGTGGCAGCCTTGCCCCTGGAAGAATTGGCGGCGCGCACAAGGGAGTAGGGGGTGGGGGAAGACTTCATTGAAGAGGCTGCTTCTTAAAAAGGCGCCGACCATACATCTATAGAGAAGGCCGGCGCCTTCTAAGAAGCAGAGGTGCTTCTGAGAAGCCTTCTCCCCACCCCCAACTGGGATGGGCGCGGGGTTGCTACAGGAATAGGGGGTTATCAGTGGACGCCAAAGGGGTTATACCTGGCCTAACCTAGCTTAGACGTTGGTCACACATGCCCCAAGTGGGTTAGGAGGATTAGACAAATCCGCTACGTTGGCGGAGCCCCCTTCGCCAGCGTCGCCAGGTTAGGCCAGATATGACCCACCTTGGCCCCCACTGATAAACCCTCTATTCCCTCAGCACCCCCCGCGCCCCCACTAACCACCCTCTCCCCAAGCATGCGACGTCCTGTCAATACGGGGCTTCTGCCCATGACCGACCCTCTCCCCACGACGGGCTTCTCATCCTGAGCCGTATTTTGCCGGTCCCGGAGTCCCGTCAGGGCCCCCCTGGGGCCCCAAACGGCCCAAACCCTCAAACTTTCAGGACGCGGGCGTGCCTGGGTCCTGCGCGTGGCCGAACGGAGCGCGGCCGAAGGGCGCGGCCGAAGGGCGCGCTGGGGGCGTGGCGAGGCGCCCCTGGAGCGTGGCCTCCTGGAGCCACAGCGCGGCCTCGCAGGCCCACTCGCCTGGCGGCCCGCCGCCCTCCGCCGCCTCACCCCGTGGGGGGACGTGCACTCCGCCCCCCTCGTGTCTCGCTCGGCCCATGTTGCGTGTGCTCAACAGGGCCCTCGTCCTCCTCCTCCTCCCTCCTCCCTCCTCCTCCTCCTCCTTCCCTCCTCCTCCTCCTCTCCTCCTCCTCCTCCTCCTCCTCCTCCTCCCGTCCTGCTCCTCCTCCTCCTCCTTCTACTCCTCCTCCACCTCCTCCCCCCTCCCTCCTCCTCCTCGCTCACCACTCCTTCCTCCTCGCTCCCCATCCCTCCTTCCTCCCATCTCGGCCCGGCGGCGCCAGAGCTGGCCCCGCACCCCGTCGCCGTGGGGACCGCCAGGCAAACGGGAAAGTCTAGTCTGCTAATTACGGGGAGGAGAAGGAGGGGGAGGAAGAGGGAGGAGGAGGGGACGGTCGCGCAGAAGGCGCACCGGCACGGGCGACCCGGCAGGGGAAGGGGAGGGAGGGGGAAGGGAAAGGGGGACGGGGGGCGGCGGTGTCCGTCGGCGTGGTGGTGGTGGTCAAGCCGGTGGTGGCCGTGGTGGTCGTGGTGGTCGTGCTGGTGGTGGTCGTCGTGGTG